GATAACCATAACGAGACAGGGGAGGCTGGACTGAACAGAATGAACATGAAAACGTGGGACCTTCACAATAAAACAGGAGACATGACGTGGGAGTGGAGGAGAGGCAGACGAGGGAGCGAGGGAACATGAGAGCACAGACATGACGCGCTGGGGAAATGTGGAAAACATAACAGAATAAAACACGAAGGGAGACACAGCACAAGAACTCACATCACAATGTGAAACAGGGACACATAGGGAGATACACAGGGCAGAGATACAAGGGGGCATCCAATAAACTAAACGGAACAACCTAGGGATCTTAGAATAAATAATGAACTAATAAATTACAAAAACACAAGACAACCAAGAACGGTGGGTCAAAATGACTCAGGACTATGACAGCTTGGATAATCTCAACAATATTAACAAGGTTCCATAGTTAGCATCTATTTCATTAAGACTTACAACAACACAGTTCCACTCATTTCAAATGCTTTTAAATTCACTGACTGATATTTGGATGTGATTTAAAATCCAAAGTTCAGGACCAGTAGAGAACTGTAGTTACAGCATCTAATATCACAGTGATATATATTACATATGAGCTTTGCAGTTATGGTTAAATAAATTACTATATATTGATACTAATAACGAAAATCAGTTGTTATATGAAAAAGCTTTCAAAAATAGAGCAAAAAACACAACAAACGGAAAAACTCCAATCATTTAAATCCCACATATTTCACTGACGAAAAATGTGTCTTATCATTTGCTAAAATAAATGTAAAACCTGATTTAGGTGCCTTTTAGAAGTGCCATCACCTCTTACTTAATGTGTGTGGTTTGTAATTAACAACATACCTCTTTCTAAATAACTTGCAGACTGCATGAATGCAGAAAAGTGGCCAGTTCAAAATAAAGAAAAGAGGAAGTTTTGTGTCAGGGCTGCAGGGCTCATTTTATATTTTGATATTTGCACTTGAATGAAAAAATAAAATAAAGTTTTGAAATTTTTATATGCTACAAACATGTCTTTGAATTTTGTAGAAAACAGGAAAAATGGTTTCAAAAGGAAAATACAGTCCTCTCGAAAAATATTAGATCATCATCAGCAGTGAACTTAAATCTGTTAATGGTACATTTAGTTTTGAAAATGTATTTTTCCATTTCTTAGTTAGTGGTGCTGTTGTTCCTTTTCAGTCCTAAAAAAGTGAACCACTTCCTAAAAATGAATGTTTCACTTGAGAAGCGAAAGGTGGACGAGGAAGAGTAGAAGATGATGGGATCGATACAGGTGTTGAAACAGCTCAGAAGCAACATGTAGTACCTCCACTCTGGACTTAGTCCCTGGATGTAACCCACTAAATGAGATAAACTGAATGGCAGAACACAAATAAGGAACACAGCAAGAGTCCCTGAGGCCATGCCAATGGCCTTCTGTTTCTGCATCTGGGATATCCCGGATAGGCTGTACAGAATTGAGATGCAGCGCAAGGAGCAGTAAACACAAATAAGAAGCGGTATGAGGCAGAGTACAAAGAAAATCTCCAGACGTACTGGGAGGAGGATCTTCAACTGCTTCTCTGAAAACTGTTCATAACACGCATTGGAGTTATTACTGGCCAGAGATGGGTGATGCTGGATGATGAAAATGATACTGCAGTGTGCTGATGAGATGAGCCAAACAGCAACACTGATAACAATTGCATACACAGGTTTCTGCAGTAGATGATAGGTGATAGGAAATGCTACTCCTATGTAGCGGATCACACTGACTGCCATCAGCAGCAAGGAGCTGGTGTAGATTGTGGAGAAAAAGGTGAAGGAAGTGATGGAGCACATGAAGTTGGGCAGATCCCACTTCATACCAGATGCTGCCTCGTGCATCTTGAAAGGAAGGATGACCAAAAACAGCAGGTCGGAGATGGTCAAATTAAGCAGCAGGATGTCTGTTGGACGTAGCTTGGAACAGATCTTGGTACTAAACGCATAGAGAGCCAAGAGATTACAGGGGAGGCCGATCAGGAATGAAATGATGTAAACTGAGAGAATGATCTCAGTCCTCACTGTAGACACCATTATTGACCTAAATCAACATTTAGAAAGAAAAAAAAA